CACGTAATAAAATCTTTAATTTTAAATGTAGTTTTGGGTTTGTTTGAAGTAAATTCTATTATTTTTGGTGGCATTGTAGGATCAGCTGATTTGCACACAATACAATTCTTACATTTGTGAAAGCCTAAAGATTGGGGAAAGAAGGTTGCAAAATTGTTGGGTTTGATTTCTTTGGTGAAATTGGTTGTTAGGATAGATTTGACGTTAGGAGCCCCTCTAAAAATTATATTTGGTTTTTCTGGAATAATTTTAGAGAGTTTTTCATCATGTTCTAAAATGTGCCAGTGTTTTTGGATGATCTTTTTAATCTCTTTACTTTTATTGGTATAATTTAAAATAATAGGGAGTGGTATTGAGTCATTTTTGGTTTTGGGTTTATACTTTAAAAGCTCATCTCTATTTTTATTTTTTATCTCATTAATGTTTTCAAGTAGATCTTTTTCTTGATAGTTTTTCTCTATAAATCTATTTTTAAGAGCATTCGCTTGTTCTTCAAAATTTTCCAATTCTGTGCAATTTCTGCGCAATCTACGAAATTGGCTTTTCGGAGCACTATCAAGCCACGGTTTGTAGTGGCAACTATTTTTATCGATTACTGTGTTGACACAAACTTCTTTAAAAAAAGTTTTTGTGTTTATTTTCCCATTTTTAATGAATATATTGAGATCTAAAAAGTTTATTTGTTCTCTACTAAATTCATGGGTTAAAATTATACCCCTGTTATTAGTATTAAGAACATTAAAAAAAGAAATAAGATTGTCTTCCGACCCATTCCAAATAAAAAAGAGATCATCAATATATCTAAAATATGAGACCAGGTTTGCCCTTAGGTTGTCTCCATTGTAGATAGCTGTAGATTCCCAATCTGCCATAAACAGATTGGCATAGCTTGGGGCAAACCTGGTTCCCATAGCAGTTCCTCTTCTTTGGAGGTAAAAGGAGTCTAAAAACCAAAAATAGTTATTTTTTAAAATAATATTTATACCCTCTAAAATAAAATTAATTTGTTGCTCCGGAATTCTATCTTCCTTTATTAAAATATTTTTAACAGCTTCACATCCAATTTTATGGGGTATAATGGTATAGAGTGATTGGACGTCACAGGTGACTAAAATAAAATTGGGGTCCCATTTAAAATCCTTTAAAAAGTTTAAAAGGGACATAGAGTCTTGGAGATAGGATTTCATTGTTTTAACAGCAGGTTGTAGAAGAGTGTCTATATATTGGGATAGGTTACATAAAAGTGAGCCTATTCCTGACACTATTGGTCTGCCTGGGGGATTAGTAACATTTTTGTGTATTTTTGGAAGGAAGTATATTACCGGAATTTTGGGGAATTTTATGTTCAAGAAGTTATACTCTTGTTTAGTTAAAATAGCTTGGGATACTCCTTTATTAAGAAAGGTTAAAAAAAGGTTTTGGATAGTCTTTGTTGGATCTGATAAGAGTTTCTCATAGACGTCAGAGTCGTTAAGTTGTCTATGCGCTTCTTTTATATACATGGCACTAGATAAAATAACTAGGCCACCACCTTTGTCAGCAGGTTTTATCACAATATCGTTATCGTCTTGTAGCTCTTTAAGTGCTTTTTTTTCTTTATTCGTTAGATTTTGTGTATCGTATTTTTTAGTCTGTAACTTGTTTAAATCCTGTGTAACCAATTTCTCAAAAACAGTTAGTGGGGCAGTTTATTTTTATTGTATTTTATACACTTTCATTTACTCCTGGCATTTTTATATATTTTTATATATATACACATTTTATATCATTCCAAACTATTTTATAGTTTTATCCATTCAATTTTTATTTTTTATTTTTATTTTTATTTTTATTCTTAAAAAATTGAAAGCATATTCCGTCCAAAGAAATCCTTAGGTGGGGATAATTCCACCAGAGCTGTGGCAATAGAGCAGTACCTGTCTGCTTTATTCTTGTAAGTATAACTTACTTAAAGTTAAATATTATTTTGTTGTTCATACTGAGAGCACTATTTGCCGTTTTATATATACTCCGTGGATACCTATTACCCGATATCGGAAAGGCGGACCTATCTTCTAAGGAATCAACACACACCTGAAGTAGATCCTAGCCGACACCACAGGAACTCCGAGCCGGATAAAAGGACCATCCAAGTACATCCGTTAGTGGGGATTAAACCACTTAGTGTCTCTTCTCCCAGAGCTGGCACAAGCTCCATAAAATGTGAGTGAAATATATTTCCTTTGAATATACACAACATCAGGATATACAATATTTCACCATTGGTAGCTTTTTCTTTTTGTCTTTTATCTTCACATATATGGACTATCTATTATACGGACGGAGCCATACCTGAGGATTATTATCGTGGTACTGCATACCAGTGAGACTGTTTTTACTTATACTCTTTACAAATCCGGATGAACTTTATTTGACTTTATTATTACTGTTTATTTTATCACCATACGATTTTATTTACTTATCAACTTTTTTGTCTCCTCACTCAAGCGCAGCCCTTGACCCCCTTTTTTTCTTCATTGTATATTGACATCAATCATAAGAGCACAGCTAAGAACACTCCCTTTTAACAGGGAACTAAATAATATATATATATATATATATATGTGATATATAGATTTATGAACAATATTTGCGAGAAATAGGCCTTTTGGTTCATAGAAAAGGTCTTGGATTTTTGAGTTCAGCACATGAAAAATGGGGGCAAAAACAAAAGTGTTGCATTATAATTCTGTTCAGTGTAGGTTCAATAGGCTGCTAGATTGACCGTACCACATTGAACCATAATATGTTAAAAATATCTCTCAGAGGACTAAAACAAATACTAATCCAGAGCCAAGAGAAGAGAAATTGTCAGATCTTTGGAATTTATACCATTGAATAAGCAATCATAATCCACAAAACATTGTTTCATTCTTTCTCTTCTCTGTATGCTTTCTCAATGCTGACTGCCAGGCTCATATGACAGAAATGTCAATCATAACAATGATTGATGGGAGGAAACCCATCACAGGATAAAGTGTAGATTTCTACATTTTATGTTTGACACCTTACAAATAATTGTTTGAAATCTAGGGATAAGAACATGCAATATTAAAAATCCTGGAAAAATAGACACTACAGTCACCAAAATAACATAATGAAGCGCATGCCTCTGAAGGTTCCATGCTCAATTCACCTCTGTTTAGGAGTTAAATCACTTATTTCTGTCAACGTAGGCCTAGTCACACCTCCCCTTGATTTGACGGACACAGCCTGCTTGAAAACAAAAAGGTTACCTTTTCAATCAGTGGTAACTTACCTTAAACATTTGTATCTCCTGCTCTGCAAATTGAACTTTAATCACACACAGGAGGTTGCTGCAGGGTCTAATAAGCTTTTAACAGAGCAGGAGATAAGAAATTAGAAATTAAATAGAATTTGCAATAAAGGAAGTGCAAACATTAAATTACTCTCTACAGGAAGTGTTTAGGAAGGCTGTATAAGTCACATGCAGGAAGGTGTGACTGGGCTACCTAAACAAATTTATTTGACTTCCAAATGACAGATAACACCAATACTGCTTCATTAAGCTAAAGTTGTTTTGGTGACTATAGGGTCCCTTTAAGTTTGCTTCAATGCCAGTATAACAACTGGACATAAAACAGCAACAATAAAGCTCACATCATGGGGATAAAGATTTTTAAATACAGTATATTTAACAATAAATATGTTGTTATAAAATCATTTAATACATTTTGAGTTCAAATTTTCTTTTAAAGTCTTAATGTAGATTTCACTCAGCTATGTTTTAAATACTCCCATACTTTCTTCTGAAATGAAACATAATGAAGCCATGGTGATTTCTGTTTAAATGAAGACTTTAATCAACACTTACAAACTCTATGAAATATCAGGAATATCAGGAGACAAACTCCTTCTACAGTTGTCCTCGTACTGTTGATACTTTCTCTGATCTCAGTAGTCAGGGTCCTAATCAGGGGCGGACTGACCACTCGGGCACTTCGGTCATGGACCGAGGGCCCGAGGCAGTCAGGGGCCCGGCAGCACAGCCTTGTTCCAGCTGGAGAGATCAGAGATCTCTCCAACTGGAACGGCAAAATAATAAAATAAAACTTTTTAATTGATAGGTTGTGGGGCCCCTGATGCAGCACGGGGCCCCACAACCTACCGCTCTGCTAGTCCCCCCCCCCCATGGAGACCTGGCAGCTTCACCTCCTCCCTGCCAGGTCTCCTACTTCCTCTCCCATGCGGCTCTGTGTGATGGGAGAGGCGGGCCAGGAAGTGACATCACTTCCTGTTTACTCCTCTCACACAGAGCCCAGCATGGAGAAGGAGCAGCAGCCGGGGAGAGAAGAGGGAGCAGAGATGCAGGTAGGCACCAACCACCCCCTCCCCCCCCCTCACTGTCACTAGTCACCACCCCCCCCACTGTCACTAGTCACCCCCCCACTGTCACTAGTCACCCCCCACTGTCACTAGTCACCCCCCCACTCTGTCACCCCCTCACTGTCACTAGTCACCCCCCCACTGTCACTAGTCATCCCCCCTCACTGTCACTAGTCACCCCCTCACTGTCAGTCCCCCCACTGTCACTAGTCACCCCCCACTGTCACTAGTCACCCCTCTGTCACTTTTCAGTCCCCCACTGTCACTTAGTCACCCCCACTGTCACTAGTCACCCCTCACTGTCACCAGTCACCCCCCCTCACTGTCATCAGTCACCCCCCCCTCACTGTCACCAGTCACCCCCTCACTGTCACTAGTCACCCCCTCACTGTCACTAGTCACCCCCCCTCACTGTCACTAGTCACCCCCTCACTACTCACACCCTCCCTCACTCTGTCACTAGAGTGAGGGGATGACTGGTGACAGAGTGAGGGGATGACTGGTGACAGAGTGAGTTAGGGGGTGACTAGTGACAGAAGGAGGGATGGAGTAGTGACAGAGGGAGGTGGTGACTAATGACAGTCACCACCTCCCTCACTCTGTCACTAGTCACCCCCTCACTCTAGTGACAGTGAGGGAGGGTGTGACTAGTGACAGAGTGAGGGAGGGAAGTGGTGACTAGTTGACAGCGTTAGGGAGGGAAGGGGTGACTAGTGACAGAGTGAGGAAGGGGGTGACTAGTGACAGAGGGAGGGGTGACTAGGGACAGAGGGAGGGAGGTGGTGACTAGTGACTAGTGACAGTCACCACCTCCCTCACTCTGTCACTAGTCACCACCTCCCTCACTGTGTCACCCCCTCCCTCTGTCACTGGTCACCCACTCCCTCCCTCACTCTGTCACTAGTCACCCCTTCCTTCCCTCTGTCACTAGTCACCCCCCTCACTCTGTCACTAGTCACCCCCCTCACTCTGTCACTAGTCACCCCCTCACTCTAGTGAAAGAGTGAGGGAGGGGGTGACTAGTGACAGAGAGTGACAGAGGGAGGTGGTGACTAGTGACAGAGTGAGGGAGGTGGGTGACTAGCACTCCCTCACTCTGTCACTAGTCACCCTCTTCCCTCACTCTGTCACTAGTCACCCTCCCCTCACTCTGCCACTAGTCACCCCTTCCCTCACTCTGTCACTAGTCACCCTCACTCTAGTGACAGAGTGAGGAGTTGACAGGTGATGGAGTGAGTGACTAGTGACAGAGTGAGGGAAGTGACTGTCACTAGTCACTAGTCACCCCTCCTAACTCTGTCACTGTGTCACCTGCTCCCTCACTCTGTCACTAGTCACCCTCCCTCACTCTGCCTCACACCTCTCTGTCCTTAGTGACAGGAGGGGAGAGTAGTGACAGTGAAAGGAAGAGTGACTGTCACTAGCCCCCATCCTCTGTCACTAGTCACCCCTCCCTCACTCTGTCACTAGTCACCTCTGGTCCTAGTGACAGGTGAGAGAGGGTGACTAGTGACAGAGTGAGGGAAGGGGTGACTGTCACTAGTCACCCCATCCCTCTGTCACTAGTCACTCCCTCCTAACTCTGTCACTGTGTCACCTGCTCCCTCACTCTGTCACTAGTCACCCCATCCCTCTCTCTGTCACTAATCACTCCCTCCTAACTCTGTCACTGTGTCACCCCCTCCCTCACTCTGTCACTAATCACCCCTCTGTCCTTAGTGACAGAGTGAGAGAGGGGGTGACTAGTGACAGAGTGAGGGAGGGGGTGACTAGTGACAGAGTGAGAGAGGGGGTGACTAGTGACAGAGTGAGGGAGGGGAGGGGGTGACTAGTGACAGTCACCACCTCCTTCACTCTGTCACTAGTCACCCCCTCCCTCACTCTGTCACTAGAGTGAGGGGGTGACTAGTGACAGAGTGAGGGAAGGGGATGACTGGTGACAGAGTGAGGGAGGGGATGACATGTGACAGAGTGAGGGAGGGCGTGACTAGTGACAGAAGGAGGGAGGGAGTAGTGACAGAGGGAGGTGGTGACTAGTGACAGTCACCACCTCCCTCACTCTGTCACTAGTCACTCCTTCCTTCCCTCACTCTGCCACTAGTCACCCCTTCCCTCACTCTGCCACTAGTCACCCCTTCCCTCACTCTGTCACTAGTCACCCCCTCACTCTAGTGACAGAGTGAGGGAGTGACAGGTGACAGAGTGAGTGACTAGTGACAGAGTGAGGGAAGGGGTGACTGCCACTAGTCACTAGTCACTCCCTCCTAACTCTGTCACTGTGTCACCTGCTCCCTCACTCTGTCACTAGTCACCCCCTCCCTCACTCTGTCACTAATCACCCCCTCTGTCCTTAGTGACAGAGTGAGAGAGGGGGTGACTAGTGACAGAGTGAGGGAAGGGGTGACTGTCACTAGTCACCCCATCCCTCTGTCACTAGTCACCCCCTCCCTCACTCTGTCACTAGTCACCCCTCCCTCACTCTGTCACTAATCACCCCCTCTGTCCTTAGTGACAGAGTGAGAGAGGGGGTGACTAGTGACAGAGTGAGGGAAGGGGTGACTGTCACTAGTCACCCCATCCCTCTGTCACTAGTCACTCCCTCCTAACTCTGTCACTGTGTCATCCCCTCACTCTGTCACACAGTCATCCCCTCACTCTGTCACTAGTCACCCATTCCCTCACTCTGTCACTAGTCTCCCATTCCCTCCCTCTGTCACTAGTCTCCCCCTCTCCTTCCCTCTGTCACTAGTCACCCACTCCCTCACTCTGTCACCAGTCACCCCCACTCACTCTGCCACCACTCAACCCCTCCCTCACTCTGCCACCAGGTACCCCCTCACTCTGCCACCTGTCACAACCTCCCACACTCTTCCACCTGTCACCTTCTCCCTCACACACTCTGTCACCTGTCACATATGCATTCACACAGACACTATATACAAAAAAGCACATGTAGTCATCCAGACATGCACAAGTGCATTCACACAGACTCAAATACAAACATGCATTGATACACAGGTCTTCACAATACACACATCCAAAGGAATGCCGTATTATGAATTATATTTAACATTTATTAAAATGCACATATATTTGGCCTTCAAAGGGCCTGGGATCTAATTTTGCCCGGGGGCCCCAAAGGCTCTCAGTCCGCCCCTGGTCCTAATAGATACTGACTCTCTTTTTGTCTTCTACTGACCCAGTAGGTTATGGTTCAACCAATAGAAACAAGAAATATTCAGAACTTGCGCCCCCACATTCCAACACCAATTGTAGTGCAGACAATTCATTGCAATGTCCAGAGAGTTCACCTGATTCCCATCTATGTAAAGAGATAAACATCGGAGGTGAGTATAATGCTAATTCACCTTGTTGATTTCTACTAAAAGGCAAAATAGATGATAGACTTGTACATTTGGTTTCGAAAAACATCTGGGGTTCCAACCGTTGAGCCAAAAAAAAGATGATTTTTTTGAGAATTTTTTTTGATAATTAGGACACTGACACTAACTGTCGATTTTATTCCCAGATCAATTGAGAATTGACCAATAAAAAGTAAAAAGGGACAACATTCAAATATATTTATATATTATATAATTAATAAAGATATAAAAATATAGATTTTATTCTTCTTTTCAAATAATTTTTATTGAACTTTTTTGAATCCATTTTTACACAATAACAAAAGGAAAGTGTGGTAGAAATACCTCTGCCACGTGTTCTTGGAGGGGCCTGCTTGCCAAGACTATGGGCCCTTTAAAAACTATGTGAACAGACTTGGTTCATGGGATTTTATATTTGGTACGGGAACCGAACAGGTGCACGAGCCAGATACCACTCTGGAGCTTGTTAAGCCTAATTGACAGTTTGTAACACTTTCCACCGTAGTGTTTTCAGTGTTCGCCTGGGTGGCCACTGGACGCATGTACGACCATGAGGTGGCGGCCATCTTGTTGCCGCGAACGCAGGCAGTGGTGTTTGGTGTCACGTCCTGTTCCTCGCTGCGGATCATTCTGGCAATGGCTTCTGGTATCCAGTACTCCTTTTCCTGTTCTTGCATGGTTTTTCTGGTTTTCTGGTCTATGTCTGGTTTTCTTTGTTGCTGGGTTTCTGGGTTCATTCTTATAGACTGGATTTCCCAGTCTCTTGGATTCACTTAAATGTTTGTTTTAATGTTGCACACCAGTTTGTTTTCCACTTTCCTTTTGTTTCAGCTTGGACCTGCAGCAGTGTTTCATCTCTCTGCCCTTTCTTGTAGGTAAGTGCTATTGTGGTATAGTGTGGTTGTTTTAGCATGCATTAGGCAGTGTAGGACCTGCCAGATACGGGGTACATTGGTGTTGTTGGCGGGCTTGTGCAATGTATGATCATATAATGTAACTAAATCCCCATACTTTTCATAATTGGTGCTTAGCTATGTTTCCTCTTGTTTTACCTTGTCTTGTAATCCCAGTCCTTGTACAGTCCTGTTCAGTCATGCCCATGTTATGTTTTTGTTTTCCTCATGTCTTGTGTACATGTTTTAGGTTATGCTCTGATTCTGGGTTCTCCTAGTTTTGTCTTGTGTTCATGTATGGTGACTTGCTCTCCTAGTCTTGCCTTGCTTCAGTACTGCATACATCTCTCTGGCAGAGCCTCCCTATTCAGCTCCTGGGATGTCTGCTTAATTACCTGCTCCTAGTTTCTGGATCCGCATAAGCTGAATCAGGGTTCTGGTATGTGGCTGCACAATTGCTGGTGCTCAACACCATGGGGCGTGCGGTTGCCCTGCACCAGACCCTGCTAATCCACCTCCACACTGTGACTCCTATTCTGAACATCAGGCATACTGGGTCCGGGTCTACGCACTGCCACCCGGACAGTGTCTGGGTCCCGGGCACCGGACCGCCACCCCTGACATTTGGTCATCGAGATCATGGAACTGTTTTCGGACACTGAAACTCCTGAACACCACTGGGCTTCCAGCATAGCCTACATTCGGTTCTACACAATTTAGAAGGACACTGTTCGGTGGAAACATTCCCATGAACAAGGTGAACAAGCTCCAAGGTAAGAACATTGACTATGTTCGGTAGTTTGTTCGGTTTTTAAACTACCCGACTAGACCGATTGAAGTCCTGATTGTCTGGAACTGTTTTGGGCATGGGACCATGCGTGCGGTCGGTCAAATTATGACTGCCAGGAAATTACTCAACCCCTGAACCGATCTGGCTGATTTTTGGATATGTTGGTCACCCAGATTGGGGCTATCAGGGATGTAACCTTTGTGGGGGGTTTGTGTGTTTTAAGGTATTTTGGGGGTTTTGTAAAAATTTGTTTTCTGTGCCTGGAGATGTCAGTTTAGTATAGTTCCTGACTAAATTATCTCTCAGGCACAGGGAAGGGATTGACCTATTTTGTATGGGAGTGTCCTGGACCTGAGAGCCAATGTAATCGTGTGTATGTTTTTACTGCAGTCTGCTCTCAGGTCCAGGGGGGAGTGCCCCTTGCATGGGGACCTGCATATATGGCCAGTTGTGGCTGCCAATAAATGAGTTCCGCCCTACCCTCAACATAGAGTCTCATCTCATGTGTGTGGGGGGGAACAGCTGTATCTGCTCTGGGGATTTCTATATCATGATACTCCCCTGGGCTATAATCACTAGCTCTTGTAAGAGCTACACTGCTATACCTGCTATACTCTCTTGGAGGAGAGGTCTTCCCACTGGGAGCTGGATCCATGACTTTGGTCCAGGCAGGGACGTATTAGGAGCCCTTTCGGCTTGGTGCTGACAATTATGATGGGCCTAATTACCGAATTGATTGTCAGAAAACCTCCCAAGCATGTATATGGTGGAGGTGATGCTGGAGGGAAACTCACAGGATACAGCTATCAGAAAACACATTGTAGCGGAGAGCTAGTATTTCATAGCCTACCTCCACTTGTAGATCCCAGTGAGGCTCAGGAACAAGTAATTATAAATCCATAGGCAAAGTATCCAGCAGGTAAAACAATACAGCAGTATCCCAACAGCACTCCCAATAACTGGACGACACACAGCATCAGGAGCACAACTAAAGATTTATTCACACAGTGGCCTTATAAAGCATGCAAGGGAGGGATTTCCATTCATTAGTACAGTAGCCAATCCTGTTCTGGTAACCTCCCACACATCTCCTCCCCTCAGTCTGCATCATAATCCCCTTATCCAGGACACCAATTCCCCCCGATTCTGGATGTACCCCTAAACCTAGGGGTACCACTTTAAAGGATACATCCCCTGGTAGCCCTGATCTGGGTGAACCACATATCCAAAAATCACCCAGATCAGACCAGGGGTTCGGGAAAATTATGGAGAGAATAAAAAGACAGACCGCGCTGGAGGGAATAGCCGAATTGGGTTGCGATGGGGCCCTGCGGTCAGTCCTGGCAAAAGGGACCAAATTGTGCGAAAGTCTCTAGTTACAGAGACCAGGGAGGGTTCACCTGAATCCCCTCGTTCGGTTGTTTCTGTCTACCGAACGAGGGGCCGTTCGGTAGTTTGGAACCGAACGGACCGGGCTTGTGGAGGTCTCAGCGGTGTTCGCCTAGTCGAGTGTCCGATTTGGGTTCCAGACACTCGACGGCAAAACACCGCTGTTCGGGAGTTTTAAAATGGCCACCTCCACGTGTTCGTTTCCCGAATGGCGGCCACCCCCGAGAAAAAAGGACTTACTGCCCAGCTTGTCAATTACCCGTTTGCAACAATGTTGCAACAGATAATTGAAGGCACACTTCACACCGGGGAGGTCTGAGTGTTCGGTAGTTTCATTCCCTTACTTGATAGAATGATTCTACCGAACAATCAGATGAATACAATACATTTCTACACATATAACTTGCCATTTACACGAATGCAGTTAAAACCTATACAATTCCCAGGACAGCCCAGTGCCATCCGCTACACACATACCCTATGGAAATCTTCCTCTTTAATCTTTCAAGTAAATCCATACCCTCTAACAGCAGTGTCCAGTGAAGCAGGATATCGGTGGATAGGATAAGAGTGTGGGCCATTGATGTGAATCATGTAACCAGAACTGCCCAAAGGGACAAGCCTGTCCAGAAAGGGGGAATGTCTGCACAGAGAATTAGATGGTCAGTCAGTCTGTTGTGAATGCATGTCAGGCTGCCTGCCAATCATGCAGGATGAACAACCAAGGGCATACAGTGCAGACAGCACCCCGAGTTTAGCATAATCTAATGATGCGCTAACTCAATGCTTTCTAAGGACTGTCCCGTGCACTCGCTGGTCCATTCCTCTCCTAAGCTTCTTACTAACAGGCAGAAGCTCCTGTCATACAGTCTGGGACAAAGAAAGTGTATGCAGTGAGTGTAGAAGAAAGGGCACATGCCACAGTGTTAGAGAGACTGAAGCAGCAAGAGCATTTGCTTTACCTGAACGAATGTAATTGTCAGCCAGTCCACACTAGTTTTGTTCCCCTGAAGTTTCCATACTTAACCAAGAGCACGTGAAGAGTAGTAGTTAAAAAACAAAACAAAAAAACACATTTTTTGTTTTTTTTAAATCAATGGGCCTATTTCATAGGCATGGGCCTGGAGCTGTAGCTCCATCAGCCCCTATGTTAATCCGGCCCTGGGTCCAGGGTGAGAAGGGAGGGTGAGATGCCAGCCAAGCTGTGGCAGCTAAGGGGCTATGGGGCTTATGGTGTCCGGTTGCGGGGCTTATGGTACTAGGCGACAGCCATGAAGCAGAGATTGGCGGTGTCACCCAGTCGGGGTGCCAGATATACAGAATAAGAAAAAAAAAAGGGTTCCATCCATAATAATACAAATATATAATAAAAATAGAATATTGTAAAATATAAAAATAAAAATGTTATTGTATAATGCAATTTTACATAATTAAATTAAAAGCCATTAAATTTCAAACAATTTCTGAATCCTGCTCCTCTTTTTTTTTCCCTATATTGGTTGCTTCTTCGCACTTTATCTGTAAATCAAAAGGTGGAAAAATGCACTAGCATAAAATATACACATATACATATAAAACTGATTTTATTTGATTTGACATTTTGTTTTGTCTGGACATTTTGTTCCTGAAACAACTGCATGAATAAAGTTTTTTTCCAAACTGAAACACCACATGTATCAATCGCAAATCTACTGACACAGTTGTGGATTTTTCCTTGGATGAAGTGATTTGGCCAAACCAAATTTATTTTGCCATGTTTATGTCTAAAAAGGATTTGGGACTAAATTTCATGATTCTCAACCATCCAAATTGCAGTGGTTATTTCTCACTGCTATCAATCATAATCAGGGTCATTCACTAAAGCCAGAAATTCAAAGTGAATTTCAAATGTAGGCACAAATAATCAGCAATGCTTCCAGATCTACTACTTTGTACCTAAATTCGAAATTCAGTTTGAATTGGCAACTATTCTCACTTTTCTGAATAAGATTTAGGTCAAAACAGGTGATAAATACTTGACACTAAAATAGAAAATCAAACTGGAATGTTACTTACTATAACATTCGGTGAGATCAAAAATAGCTGTCCTATGTCTTTAAAGAAACAACAATCTTTAACTGTTAAAATCCTACAATCACTGTTATAAACCATTTGTGCTAGAAAATAAAACTGACCTTCAGGGAACAGTTGTTATTATTAAACAAGTATATCCATCTTACGAAGTACAGGGAATATTATATGCAGTATGAACCACAGCCCTTCCATTTACAGTTCAATGTGAGTGTGATTCACTTTCCCAATTCTGCACTTGTAATCTTTAAATCTTCCTCAAGGGCTAAATTTTCAAAGCAGTTTGTGAGATCCAGAAAACAAAATCATTAATGTGACAATATATATTGTTTTCATTAGATTGTTTATTGGCAGAGTTTTGTTAATATGATCTGAGCTGTTACTAAAGTGTACATGTGCTAACTTGACAGTAATTATTCAATAAAATGTTTCATACAATAATATGGGCTTTTTTTGTTTGTTTGTTTACAGATTTAATACCTGTATTCAACGTATTTTCAAATTAATCATTGGGTATTCTTTAAACCCTCTTCTGGATTGCTACCTTGCTGTGGTGAAGGGGCTTGTGTACGTCAATGAAGTTATGAGCTATACCATGTAGGGACATCCAAGACGGGCAGGTCATTGCAGAGAAGTCAGACAAATCACGGTCGACTGGAGAAGGAACTAGCAACCCACTCCAGTAACTTTTCTAAGATAACTATATGGACAAGCACAACCAGAGACATAATGATATGGCACTGGAAGATGAGCCCCTCAGGTCAGAAGGTGCCTACCACATTACTGAGGAAGAGCAGAGGGCGAGTATGAGTAGCACCAGATCTAATGAAGAAGTTGGGCCAAAGCCGAAAGGACACCCAACTGTGGATGTGTGTGGAGGGGAAAGGAAAGTCCTCTGCTGCAATGAACAATTTAACATAGGAACCTGGAATGTTAGAACTATGAACCAAGTCAAATTGGATGTGATTAAACATGAGATGACAAGGTTAAACATCGATGTCCTGGGAATTAGTGAACTCAAATGGACTGGAATGGGACATTTCACATCAGACAACCATCACATCTTCTACTGTGGTCAAGAATCCCGCAGCAGAAATGGAGTAGCCATCATAGTAAGTAATTGGGTGGGCACAGCAGTGCTTAGCTATGACCCAATAAATGACAAAATGATTTCAGCTCAAATTCAAGGCAAGCCATTTAACATCACAGTGATCCAAGTTTATGCTACAACCGTGGATTCTGAAGAGGCTGAAATTGTCCAGTTCTATGAAGATATTCAACACATAATAGATACAGTTGAGTGAACCCGAACTGTAAAGTTCGGGTTCGTACCAAACATTACGGTTTTTGGACCCCGGATCTGAACACAGACATTTCAGTGTATGTTCGGGTTGGAGTTCGGCGATTTAATGGCGCGTTTTGAAAGGTTGCAAGGCAGCCAATCAAAAAGCGTTTGACTTGTGTGCCCTTAGAAGCCTACTAATGGCATGGCTGTGACTGGCCAGTACAGCATGTGTCCCAACCTCTATATATAAGCTGGAGTCACGTAGTGCTGCATGTCACATGAGCTCTTATTACTGTAGGGAGAGGTTGCTGCATCTGTGAGGGACAGATTAGGAAAGAATTCTGGTGTTGAATCTGCAAACTACAGCGATTAGTTTTTGAGGGTGCTATACTACATTTTTGTACCCTGCCCTGAGCCCAGTGCCACAGAGTGTGCAGTGCACTTGCAACGGCATGTGTGCCAAGCACATTACTTTAATCCTGTTCTGGTAGCTCAGTTGGCAACATCTAGGTTTTTTAAATACTGCAATTTTTTGGTGCTAAATAGTATATTTGCGTACTGCATTTCTTGCAGTCTAATAAAACCCTTAAATACTACTGTTACATTGTTGGTTTAAAAAAAATCTAACTTTTTTGTGCTAAATAGAACATTTGCGGCCTGCGGTGCATTTCTTGCAGTCCAATAAAACCCTTAAATACTACTGTTACATTGTTGGTTTTAAAAAAATCACACCTTTTTGTGCTAAATAGTACATTTGCGGCCTGCGGTGCACTTCATATCTGAGAGTCAAATAGAACCGTCAAATACTGCAGTGACATTGCAGTTTGACTAACTCACAAGTTTTTGGTGCTAAAAAGTAAATTTGTGGCGTGCACTTCATTTCTGAGAGTCAAATAGAACCGTCAAATACTGTGGTTACAGCGCAGTTTTAAAAATTTAAATTTTTGGGGTGCTAAATAGTATATTTGGTGTGTGCACTTCATATCTGAGAGTCAAATAAAACCGTCAAATACTGCTGTGACATTGCAGTTTGACTAATTCACAATTTTTTGGTGCTAAAAAGTAAATTTGTGGCGTGCACTTCATATCTGAGAGTCAAATAGAACCATCAAATACTGTGGATACAGCGCAGTTTTAAAAATTCATTTTTTGGGGTGCTAAATAGTATATTTGGTGTGTGCACTTCATATCCGAGAGTCAAATAGAACCGTCAAACACTGCTGTGACATTGCAGTTTGACTAATTCACATTTTTTTTGGTGCTAAAAAGTAAATTTGTGGCGTGCACTTCATATCTGAGAGTCAAATAGAACCGTCAAATACTGTGGTTACATCACAGTTTTAAACATTCAAATTTTTTATGTGCTAAATAGTACATTTGGGGCCTGTTCTTCATATCTGAGAGTCAAATAGAACCGTCAAATACTGCTGTGACATTGCAGTTTGACTAATTCACATTTTTTGGGTGCTAAATAGTACATTTGGGGCCTGCACTTCATATCTGAGAGTCAAATAGAATCGTCAAATACTGTGGTTACATCGCAGTTTTAAACATTCAAACATTCAAGTAACAGATGGAGCGATCAAAGGAACCATAACCGATTTAACGAGCCATTCGCAGTTTCACTGTAGCGGCTGTGCGCGCTTTCAGGGTTCTCACCCTGCTGCTTCTCGCCTGTCTGCGCTGCAGCGTAACTTCGGCCTTCCCCCTCACCGCCTCATATGCGACGTGCCCACCTTGCACATGCTGGAGAGACTGTGCGAGCAGCAGCAGGCAATAGTGGAGTTTCAGCTGCAGCACGCACGAGTCAGTCACTCTGTACCAGATTTGCCCTCCAATAGATCCTCGTTAAAGAATTTAAAGTGTACTCATTCCAATTACAGGGCCTCGAAAGAGTCCTGTATTGTTATTTATAGTCACTACCTCCCTGCGTAGGGATCCCCGTTACAAGGACAACGTGCCATCCTTAATTCCCTCACTGGAGCGTGATCGGAAGATGCGCAACTACAAGCACACGCTGGTAGGATCGCTACTAAGGGCATTCTCAACTGACACAGTGGAAGCACAAAGCGAGGTCGCCAACTAGCTGGGGCACCGCCAGCACCTCACAAGGTAGGGTTAGCATGGCCGAAATGTGGAAAAGCTTTGTCAGAACGCCACAACAACCAGCACCACTAGCTGATATGGAACGTCTTAGCAGGAGGCAGCATTTCAGCTTGCTCTTTATGCCTTGGAGGTGCTGGCCTGCCCTGCAGCCAGTGTATTGTCTGAACGTGTGTTTAGCAAAGCAGGGGGCGTTATCACAGACAAGCACAGACGCCTGTCCACAGCCAACGTGGACAAGCTCACGTTTATAAAAATGAACCAGGCATTGATCCCACCAGACTTGTCTGTACCTTGTGCAGAATTGAAATTTATACCGGCCTCATCCAGCCATTGTTATACTCAAGTGCACTTATTCTTTGTTTTCTTTTTTTATATGTCCCAATATTTTGGGGGCTACCCCAATAAAAAACAAACAAAAAAAACCAGTGTTGGCTACCTCCTCCACCACCGCTTCCACCTACACCGCCACGGTCACAGCCTCCTCAACCTCCTACTCCACATCCACCTCCTCCTCCTAGAGCAGGGTGCAAAAGCAGAGCGCCATCCCCTAGACAGTACGCCTGTGTCACGGTTCTCACCTGATAGACAGACGGCAAGACGTGGTTGCTCTTGGAGTTCCCAACAGGGGACTTGAACCGGGGATCTTCTCAGTCCTGGTCCTGCTTTCTACCTCTGAGCCACAGCAGCTATTTACTGTGAAGACTGATTCCAGTCCTGTTCATCCTGACATGGCTACTACTCTGGGGGCTGCACCTTGACTTGGCTGTGTTTCACCTGACTCTGATCAGTCATCAGCAGGGTATATAAACCCAGCCTCGCCCTGTGCTCAGTGTCAAGTCTTTGATCCTGTTTGTTCTAGTGTTCCTGTTTCATCGCTTCGCATTATTGACCCCGGCTTCCTGACTCGTTTATTCTGACTTCTGGCATCCCTTGACTTCGGCTACTCCTCGTTGTTCCTGTCCTCTGGCATCCTTTGACCTCGGCTATCCCTCGACCATCTTGCTGGTTCAGTCCTTGCCTGTCCTGCGTATTGGTACTGCATCCTGCACAGCCCCCGTGCACAGACCCACAGGCCAGGTGAATTCTTACTTGACCACCTCGGCCTGTGGCTATCTGCAAGGGTGAGCATCATATCTGCGCTACAGACTCCCAACTCAGGTAAGACCCTGACATAAGACTTGACCATTATGGAGTCCGCAGAGATGTGCTCACCCTCGACCCAGCGTGTGTCCAGCCTGGCCCAGACTGTTTCGGAGCTGCAGCAAGAAATTTTATTCCTTAAAGGCGCAGTACATCCAGCCCCGGAACCAGCTTTTCCTGAACCGTTTGTCATCATGCCCGACCGATTTGATGGTAGCCGCACATCCTTTCAGTCTTTCAAGATGGATTGTGAGGTGTTGTTTTCTTTAAAGCCTCGAACATATGCCACAGAATTCATCAGGGTCAGAGCGGCTATCAACCTGTTGTCTGGACGCATCAAAGTTTGGGCTCACCAAATGTTGCAGACGAAGAGTCCTGTCCTGGTCAGCTGGGAATCCTTTAGTACTGCTATGGACTCACAATGTAAGACCACTGTGGCCAAGTCAGCTCCACGTACTAAAAAATCTCAGATTCTTCCTAACCAAGAAACCGAGTACCACCACTACGCCCCAGAGATGCCTCCTTATGTTCCAGCTCCCAGGAAAACTCCAGAGGTATCCGGTGTTCCACTTGACCCTGTGGAACCTATGCAATTAGGACTCGTCCACTGCAAAGTGACACCTAAGGAAAGAGACCGAAGGAGAAGCTATGGCCTATGTTACTACTGTGGAGAAAAAGGGCATTTCATCACGCTTTGTCCTGTTCGCCCTCCTAGACCTCCAGCTCTCCGACTTGGTACTAGTTTCCTTCGCCCTGTGTACACCGCATACCAGCCTAAAAAGCCAAATAGAAGCCGTTGTGCTTGCACATGCTTGGCTTCCGCGAGAAAACCTCCATCCCCTGCTCCAGAGCCTCCTGCATCTACTCCCGAAGTTGCTTCCTGTGATACCACCACTACTTCCTGCCCGCCCGAAGAGGTTTTACCTGTGGATTGTGCCGTTGCTTCTAATGGCACTATAGTCCGTAAAGAAGACCTTGAAATGTTCGAAAAAGCATTGTTAGCTGCGAACACTGCTCCTGCCAAAGTTTTGGAAGTGCTTGCCACCTGTACCCGGAACCTAAAAGACCTGGACAATTCTCCAGCCGTACCAGAAGCTGGTACTGCGGACTCCCAAGCTGTAAAGGGTATCCTTGCTGGGGAGTTTGACTATGGGGACTCACTGGATTCAGATAGTGACCCTGGAGAGGTGTACTATGCTGACAGTGAACCTATTTACGCCCGGAGGTCGTTTTTAAAGGGGGGGGTACTGTCACGGTTCTCACCTGATAGACAGACGGCAAGACGTGGTCGCTCTTGGAGTTCCCAACAGGGGACTTGAACCGGGGATCTTCTCAGTCCTGGTCCTGCTTTCTACCTCTGAGCCACAGCAGCTACTTACTGTGAAGACTGATTCCAGTCCTGTTCATCCTGACATGGCTATTACTCTGGGGGCTGCACCTTGACTTGGCTGTGCTTCACCTGACTCTGATCAGTCATCAGCAGGGTATATAAACCCAGCCTCTGTGCTCAGCGTCAAGTCTTTGATCCTGTTTGTTCTAGTGTTCCTGTTTCATCGCTTCGCATTATTGACCCCGGCTTCCTGACTCGTTTATTCTGACTTCTGGCATCCCTTGACTTCGGCTACTCCTCGTTGTTCCTGTCCTCTGGCATCCTTTGACCTCGGCTATCCCTCGACCATCCTGCTGGTTCAGTCCTTGCCTGTCCTGCGTATTGGTACTGCATCCTGCACAGCCCCCGTGCACAGACCCACAGGCCAGGTGAATTCTTACCTGACCACCTCGGCCTGTGGCTATCTGCAAGGGTGAGCATCATATCTGCGCTACAGACTCCCAACTCAGGTAAGACCCTGACAGCCTGCTACTGCCCACCGTACCCAGAGAACGAGCACACCAAAGCCAGCTCCAAGGAGTTTCCTGGTGTGGCAGTTCTTCAGACGATGTGCTGACGACAAGACACTAGTGGTTTGCACACTGGGCAATCAGAGCCTGAAGTGAGGCATAAACATTCTAATCCTGAGCACAACCTGCATCACCAGGCATCTACATGCAAAGCATGAGCTGCAGTGGAGTAAGCACCTCAAAAACCAAGAAAGGTCTCAGGCTCCTCCTGCTTCCTCTTCTGCTGCTGTCTCGGCCTATTCCTCCACCTCTGGAGTGACAGTGGCACCTGCCACCCCGCAAACAAAGGATGTGGCAGCAACGCCACCATGTCTGCCACCGTCCCCCACCATCCCCAAGCATCTCCACACTGTCCCACGGAAGCATTCAGCTGTCCATCTCCCAAACACTGGAGAGATAGAGGAAGTACCCCCCTGCCCACCCGCGATCCCTGGCCCTGAATGCCAGCATTTCAAAACTCCTGGCCTTTGAAATGCTGTCATTCCGTCTGGTGGAGACGGACAGTTTTAAAAACCTACATACATAAGGTGGAGCTTCTTGTATACACGTTCAGAAGATATCTGCAATAATATAAATACAGAACACAAATAGCGCAATACTGCTATAACAAATATAATTTTGTGGAAAGGCGTATATGGTATCACTCACAAGGCAAGAGTCATAAACCACATATGACTCAGATGGTAAGCGCTTGTGGACAATTCCAGGATGCCAAATCCTTTCTTTTGCTCTCAATTCCACTAGGAACTTGGTTTCTTCCACTCTTTGCAACAGTACTAGTCATCCAGTGCTCCCAATATTGGATTTATGTATATAGGGTACCACAGCCAGAATCTCATGAATAGTATGACTTTATTGGTAATTCCTAATACATATAAATTTAAAAGATATAATAAAAAATATTTGGTATAAAATAGATGTAAATACCGGGTAGAAATGTCCAAATCAATGTCCAACCTGATCATCTGAACAATTGCGTCTAATACGCAAAAATTGTCCTCTAGGGGCATTATTTAACCATGGTTGGTGATGACAACTTTCTTTCTTGATATACCCGTTGGCATCTACCTCCTTAAAGTGATTTCTAGTTCCTATATGTGATTCTTTAATGTAGATTTTGAGATCAAGGAAAGTAATTTCCTCTACACTCTTCTGTGCTGATAAAACAATATTCCATTCATTTTCATTAAGATATTTTAAAAAGAGATCCAAGTCTTCACCTGTGCCTGTCCAAATAAAAAATATATCATCAATGAAACGGCGATAGGACACCAAGCTCGCTCCCCATGAATGTCCCTGGAAGACATACAATTCCTCCCAATAGGCCATAAACAAGTTGGCATAACTCGGAGCGAACTTGGTGCCCATCGAAGTTACACAGATCTGTAAATAAAAAGTGTTCTGAAACCAAAAAAAAATTATTGGTTAAAATTAACTGAATGCCTTCTAAAATATACTCAATTTGTTCCCTTTTAAAATTTGATTTAGTTAAAAAGTGCTCTACAGCTCTTAATCCAATATTGTGGGGGATGATACTATATAGTGATGTCACATCACAAGTGACTAGGATGTTCCCTTCCCTCCATACAGTTTCTTCTAAAAGTTTTAAAATCTGAATTGTGTCTTTTAGATAAGCCGGATTACATATTACTATTAGTTGTAATAAATTATCCAAATATTCAGACACTTTTGCTGAAATTGAATCTATGCCTGAAATAATTGGCCTTTCCGGTGGGTTTTCTTTGTTTTTGTGAATTTTAGGGAG